ACACCTCTGTGCCCTTCACACACATCTGAGCACCTGATGGAGCTGGAGAATCCCTGCTCATTGCAGGGGAGTGGGACCAGGCGGCCTTTCAGGGTCCCTTCCAGCTCAGACAACGCTGTGGTTCGACGCGCACAGCCTCAGCACGGGGCCACAGCGCAGCTCCCAGCACTGCACAAACCATCGCACTGCAAAAAGCAAGGAGCCAGCTCAGAACTTTCTCCCAGCAAATATCTCGCCTGAAAAATGTGCTTTTTTCCATCCGCTTGAAGCCTCTTCGCTCAGGCTTTGGTAGGAAGCAGATGTGAAAGCATCCCAAAGCACGCTCAATTGTTACTCACTCGGTTATATAAAACCATGAGAATTTCCTCCTCTTTTTTTTTTCCCCTTAGCGCCAGGCCGGGTTCCTGGCTGTGAGGCCGCAGCTCGGTGCAGCCAGCCCAGGTTGGGGGAAACCTCCGCGTGCATCACCAGGCAAAGGGAAAATTTCACATCCAGGTTGCTGAGCGGAAAGCCAAGGCGCACCGCAGCCACCGCCAGGGGAGGAAAAGCCACGGCCTGGCCTCGTAACGAGCCCAGAAACACTCAGCCCTCCTAATTATGTGGAAATTTAACCCACAGGGAGGCTTCCCAGCCCTCCAACCCAGCCACAGCATGACTGCCCCAAACCCCGTGCATGGGACAGAGAGGTGAGGGCTCTGCAGGGGAAAGCGATGGCACAGCCTGAGAGAAAAAGCCACTGGGGAGGCTGCGGGGAGAAGTTTTCTCTCCCTCCCAGCAAAACAGCAGATATGAAAAGGGTGAGCTAAAAGAGACCTGGGCTGGAGAACCCCAGGAGATCCCAAACCTGATTTTCTCTGTGAGGAAAAAAAGAGCGAAGCGGCGTTTAAAACAAAAATAATAGGCAAGTATTTTTCAGCACGGTGCCAAAACATCTGCAGGGGAGCGGGGGGAGAAGAAAGCAGAGCAATTTCTACGCGTCACAAAACCCCGGGCGTTTGCAGAGCGGCCCCAACACCCCGCGCCACCAAGCAGGGCAGGGCGCAGCGCCCGACGGCTCCGCGACGTCCCCGGCACGGGCAGCGGGGGGTGCCGGGCGCTCAGCCCCGCAGCGCTCAGCAGCGGCCCCGGGAGCCGCCCGCCCTGCGCAGCCCCACTGGCGGCGGCCCGGAGGAGCCCTGGGCTCTCCTCACTTTGCGGGTTTCCCCCTGGGGGAGCGGAGCCGTGCCGCGGGCAGCCGGGACCCCGCGCCGGATGACATAACAGCATGGGCTCGGCCCTTTGTCTGCGCGCCGAGAGAGAGGGAGGGAAAGAAAGGAAAAAAGAAAGAGAACTTCTGGAAGTCATTACGGTTCCTCCGCTCCAGTCTCCTTTTGGCAGACGGCCCCCCCAGCCCTCCCCCAGCCAGGCTCGAAATGCCAGCCTATGATTTTTAAATGAGAAAAAGCTGCGCTCTACTCCAGCGCTTGGATAAACTCCTACACAAACTTCCAGATGTGACACAACCGCCTGGAAGGGGGAATTCGACGACGGATCTTCTGTAAAAACGCACGTGGAGAGAGCGGAGCGGCGGCACCGGATGGATCCGGAGATCCCCGTTGGGATGCGCGCGTTCCCCGGGTTGGGATCGGAGCTCGCGGCGCCGCTCCGGGGCGGCAATGAGAGGAGCTCGGCGGGGAGCGCTGCCCGCTCGGCGGGGATGAGGCCCGGTGCTATTTGTCCCCTGGGAGCGGGGAATAAAAGGGAAAATAATCATAATAATAAAACCCACGTTCGGCCTGCCCTTGCTAGAAGGCGACGGGTCCTGCTTTTCCCTGAGATCCCCACCCAGCACAGCTCGACCCGTCCCAGCCCCTTTCACTCCCGAAGCCTGGGGGGACGCGAGACCACAACCCCGACCCCGCAGGAGCCGCGGGTTGGGGGCTTCCGTGCTGCCCACCCCGAGCAGAGGCTGCTCAGCAGCGTCCCGGTGCCTGTGGGGGTCGGCAGGACTGGGCTGAGCGCGGGCTCAGGTGGAGCAGAGCAATTCCGACCCCTCTGTGGGTTTCTCTGACCCAACGAAACATCTCTTTCTGTTTGAACCTCTCAAAAACAAAGCACTCCAGTTCATTAAATCCAGAAGCGAAGCGCTGCACAAACGCGCTGAACTTCAAAGACCGCTGCTTGTGCTCCCGCCTCAGCACACCCAGATCCACACGGCCCTTATCTCCGCTCCACAGCTGAGCCCTCAGAGCTCCCGCGCAGCCCAGGCACATCCCCACGCCGCCGGGCACACAGACATCCCATGCCGGGCAGCGGCACCCGCCTCGCCTCCTCCATCCTCGCTCTCCAATCGGGGCACAGCCCCCAGGAAACAGCCTCGCCTCTGCCCACAGCAGCAGGCTGGCACAGACCCTGCTGTGGCCTTTCGTCCTCCCCTCCCCAGCAGTGCTTTCATGTCATAAGAGAAACCCCAGTAATTGGTTTCCCCCACGCCCCCATAGGCTCCGTTTCTCCCCAGCACCCCTGCCTGCCCCCGGTGCCCGCAGTGCAGAGCAGCGACCACTCAGCACATCCACCCCATCCCCTTCCCTGGGGCCAGGCTGTCAGCCCAAGACCACAATGGGGCGAATGGGGAGAGATTGTGAGTTTTGAGGTTAAAAACTTGAGGTTTGGTGCTCTGGAAGGTTCAATGCCTGGATCAGAGCAAACTTGACAATCACTTTCTTGCCCTATGGGAGCTCAGCACAGGTCCCCCCCATCAGCCAGGGAGAAGCAACTGCCCAGGCAGAAGATGCTCCACATTGAACCAGGGTGGAAAAGTCCAACACACAGCCCATCAGTCACAGCCCTGTCCCTACTGGGGACAGAAGCAGCATCCCACCGGCTCCCCGTGCATGGGGATGTGGAAAGCCCCGGGACAGGCCAGCCCTGGGGACATGGGGGCAGTGGGACAGGCAGCAGCTCCGGCATCCCTCCCCACATCCATCAGCTGGATTAGCACACAGCAAACTGCACCATGGCTGTGCCAAGCCAGCAACCCACACGGCCACACCATCCATCCATCCATCACCTGGCTGAGGGGCAGCAGGGGACATCGGGAAGGGCGAGCATGAGAGCCCTCAGCTCACCCAAAGACAGGTGAGAGCAGAATGAGAGCCCACAGGCAGCCAACGAGAGCCCCTCGTCAGCTGTCAGCCCCCACGGGCCAGCAGGGATTGTGCAGCCACGTGACCCCAGCGCTGCTGCTCCTCTCCAGAGCAGCTGGTGGCAACAAAGACCTCCCAGTGACATGAGTGGATGTTTTTAGCACTGAGGCACGATTCCTAGAAGATGACAGTGCGAGAAGAGCCGCTTTTCTGACCCAGCATAATAAGAACTATGAAAAGAAAAACCTAAAAAAAAAAAAAAATACATAAGCAAGCAAAGGACTTGGAATGCAGAGAGCTGAAGTGATGGGCAGGACTCTGTTCTGCCTAATTGCACCTCAACCACGCAGCAAGGGATGGGATGCGGGCACCCCCTGCCCAGAGCCCCCTCCCTCCTCGCACGGAGCCTGCGGTCCCCTGGGGCACACAGCAGGATCCAGCCCCGACCGCAGGGAGGAGGGGAGGGGCTGCAGCAAAACCAACCAAAAGCACGCAGGTGTGAACACCTGCTTCCAAACAGCACCATTAGGAGGGGAGGGAGAAAAGGGAGAGTTTCAAAGCAGATTTCAGTCAGTTGTCATAAACGCTGTTAGTCAGAGGAGGCGAGAAGGCACAGCCCTGCAGCCGGCCGGCGCTATCTCTTCCCAGAGAAGAACGCCTCGCAGAGTTCCCAGATTTCCTGAGGTGCTGAAATCAACTCAGCTCTCAATTGCTTCGCAGGTACAAAAGAGATCTGGGCGAAACTGCAGGGAGCGTTTAGGACTGGGAAGAGAATCTTGTTTTTCCCCTCCTGGGGACATTCTGGGAAGGAGGCAGCCCTCCCAGCAGACACTTTACTGCTGCAGCCCAAGTGCAGCACTGTCACAACTCCAGCAGCCCCTCACTACTGGTCCCGAGCTCAGCCCCACAGACCTGCCAACAGTCCCCATGAGCACAAGACTTACACTGGGGCCCTCTGTGCCATATAACACATCCTCCCTCTGCCCAGGCCTCTCCTGCTCCACATGTGGGGTTTCTGCCCATCCACACGGCCCCACTAAGTTCCCATCCAGCAGGCGAAGGTGGCTCCCGTGCACCATCCCTGCCAGAAGCCGCTTTATCTCAGTTTGCTTTTTGTCTCTGCAGATAATAAACGCAGCCGGAGTTCGGGGATGGCAAAACGCTCGCGCTGCTACAAACCGTGTGCCAGCTGCAACTCAGCTCCGAGGGCTGCTTTACAGGCACTGAGACCGCGGCAAGAAGTGGTTTTTCTATTGTCTTTTTTTTTCCCCCCCTTCCCGTTTCTGAAAGCTTGAAGTTGGCTACAGCAGCTCAGACACAGCCTGCGCAGAGCAAAACAGAGCTGGAAGGAGACTGGATGCCTTTGTGGGGCTACAGCAAGCAGCAGCCCCGGCCCCCATGTAGCCGGGGGTACCCTGACTGCCTGCCCTGCCCGACCCCTCAACTCTGCGAGCACAGACTGGGCTGGGGGGGGGGACCGTGAACCCCGCCCGGAGGGATGTGAATTATTTAGGGATCCCAAAGCCAAGCAGCAAACCAACCCCCTGAACAGCCCCCTCCCCCCCACCAGTAGATTCCTTAAAACCCTCAGAGAGAGCCCGAAACGGGTAAGAAACGGGGTCAGGGAGGAAGGAGGGTCCTGCAAGGAAGGACGCTGCGGTCAGGACCCCTCGGGGGGTGGATGAGGAGGGGGGAAAAGCTGCAGCCCGGCTTCCCGTGCCCGGGGGTCGCGCCGGGCGGGGAGCCCCGACCCTGGCAAACTTCGCGGCCGGACAGCGCGGTAGGGCCCCCCCGGAAGAGCAGCCCCTTCCCCAGCCGCTCAGGGGACCCCGGGGAGCCGCGCTCTTACCTCGCCGCCGCACCTGCAAAGGATACGGATTACAGACCAGGCGGAGGCACCAGCTCCGCGGCCGGCTCTCTTGGCTCAGGTAGAAGAAGACGACGGGGGCCAACGCCGGGTAAGGCAGCGCCTCCGCCTCCGAATCGCCGCTGCCGACCTCCCGCTCCCCCGGCCCCGGGCAGCTCCCGGCCCCGGACAGGTCGTTAAGGCGGATGAAAGTCTTGGCTCTTCCCGGCTCCGGCTCCTCGTCGGCCGTTCGCGGTCCATCCTCGTCCATCCTCCGGCGGGCGGCCCCGGGAGGGGCCGGGGCAACGCGGGGAGAGCCGGGGGGGCGTCTAGAGGGGCGCGGCCATAGCGGGGCCGGGGGGCTGGGGGCTGCGCCGGGGCGGCTTCAGCGGCGGGGCTGCATGACCGGGAGAGCCGCTGTCTCACCCCCCGCCGGGCCCGGGGCCGGGCCGCCCCCCTCGGCCTGCCCTGCCGGCTGCGGGCTCCGTAGCTCCTCCTCGCCGTGCCTCCGGGGGGCCCGAGCCGGGCGGGCGGCGGAGAGGCGGCCCCCCACCGCTCCCGGTGCTGCCCCCGAGCCTCGGGGCGGGCCGCCTTAGGGGCTGCGCCTGCCCCCTCCGCGCCCCACCATCTGCCCGGGCCGGGGCTGCTGCCGCCGGAGGATGCTCCCGCGGGCGGCCGCGCCGAGCCGTGCGCTCCGCACAGCTGGATCCCTCACTCCAACTTCAAGTCCCGGCTCCTCCTCCTCCCGCGGCCAATAGGAGCTCACCCCCGGCCCCTCCACGCGTTCCCATTGGTCGCCGCGCGCGTCCGTCAGGGCGGCACAGCTGGACGGGCAGCTCGCTCCCTCGGCGCGGCTGGACGGGGCGCACCGCACCGGTTTGGGGGAGGGGTCGGGAGGTGACGCTCCCCTGGGACGGGGTCGGGAGTGCGGAGCACCGGAGGAGAGGGAGGCGTCCCGCGCGGCGTTAGACGGAGGCAGAGCCCGGCGGGACTCACTGCAGCTCCGGGAGAGGGGAAGGCGGTAAGCGGCGGGGGGAGGATGCGGGGCACCGGGAAATCGCATCGCCGCCCCTCCTCGCTCCGAGAGGGCAGAGGAGGTGGCAGCAGCCGAGGACGGCAGAAGCCGCTCTGAGGAGCGTGCAGCCCCGGTACCTCCGGAGGTTTCCCCGCCCTCCTTCGGCCGCAGCTCTGAGCCCTGCCTTGGCACCCCTGCCCCGCTGCAGGGCCCAGGGCCTCCTTCCGTTTTCCCCGCTCCGCATCCCGCACCGTCCCCGAACACACACAGCGCCACCGGGATGGGCTCGGGGAGGGGGGGTTCACCGCCGTGTCCCCGCTCGTCCCAATCTCCGGCACATTCCCATGACCCCCACCCGGCCCGACCAGGGAGCCCCGTGCTGGGGCAGCGACGCTCCGACGGGCACCGCCCCGACCGCAGAGCGGGGGGAGCCGCACCTCGGGAGCGGCGGAGCTCCCCCAGACCCCCGCACCGAGGACGCGCCCGGAGCTCCCTCTGCCGGTGCGATGGGAGCCGGCCCCGACGGCGGGCACCGCGCCGCGAGCATCCATCCCGCGGGGGGTTTGCGCCAATCGCTCCGAATGACTGCAGCTCCCCAGGCTGTGCCAGGGCTCTCCGTGCTTAAGGCATCCCGAATCTTTAAAAACAGCGTTTTTCACCCCTTTTCCTTTAGTGCTCAATGTCACTTTCCTCCACATCGCATCGACACGAGCACCCCCCGCCAGCAGCTCCATCCAGCCCCACACCGCCTGCAATGGGAGCAGGGGGACAGCGCTCACCTCACCCCAAATGCCCCTCTGGTCCTGGTCCCGCTGGCCCAGCAGCACACTCGATCTTGGATTCACAGCCCATGCTGTCCAGCCCAGACAAATGACATGTTTGTTGGCACAGCATCAGGGCCAGCCAGAATTATGCTGCAGAATCGTGAGATGATATCCAGGGAGGGGGAGGGGGTGCGAACCCTGCAGCCCTGTGCACCATCAGGGCGGCCCCCTGCAAGCCCAGGGCAAACGGGCACAACAGGCCCATGTGTCACCGAGGCACAGACAGCAAAGGGAGAGGCTCCATTGATTCCCCATGTTTCTGAGGAGGGGATGGGATGGCGCTGCCCCTGCAGAGCACAGCCTGCTGCCATACACGCAGCGCTCACATTCGCATGGCAAGGTGCACCTCAGATCAAACAGCCCAGCTACCCGTGTCCAGCCCAGCACAGCTGCTTCTGATCCTATTCTCTTTGTACCCCAGTAACATACAGATGGCCTTTGTGTCATTCTGTTTATTTAAATGGATTGGGAGCAAACATTTTTTTAAAAGCTGAGGCTTTGAGCATGTAAGTGGGTTACCAGATTATACGCCGTCTCCATTTTAATTACACTTGGCTCATTTTGTTTATTGCATACATTTTCAAGAATTACGCTCGCCGTGAGAATTGGAAGCACTTTGCTTTAGGAGATACCTGCCCTATAAAGGGACCCAACATCACACACAAGAGACCACGCGCACCTTCCTGTCTCAAAGAGCACTCTCCTTCCAGCGAGGGTGGAAAAAGAAGAAAGGCTCTGCAGAGCCACGTATCCTCTCCTTTTGAAAGGCAACATCTGAGCATCAGGAGGATGAAGGCGGCAGCAGCACAGCAGGGTTTGGGCAGCTGCGTGCTACAGCAGGCAAAAGGGCAGCAGCGCTCACTGCCATCCCCACAGCCCCCCTTCTGTAGAGCAACTCCTACAAACAGAAGCCACCGACAAAGCCATTGCCCACAGTGAGGACAAGGTCCTGCCCCATCCCTGAGCATCACCTGGGCACCATTCACACCCTGCCAGTGTGAACCAGGAGAGGAGAGGGCAAGGGGAGGGCGCGTGGCTGCAGCCCGGCCAGGAGCATGGAAAGCAGCAGAAGTGACCCCGGCAAGCAGAGGTGCACACTGAGGGACTTAGGATGCAAATGAGAAGAAATTTCAGTACAGCCTAAGAAACTATTGAGGTCACATTCCCCTCGCACACACAGCCCTGGCCTCCTAATTATACCAAAGATAGCACAGGGGAGAGCGATGGGGTGAGGTGGGGACGGGCAGCGGCCGCCTTAGGGCTGTGCTGTCATACCGGCTGTGCTGACAGCAGATCTGGGGGACGTGGTTAGTGGGCCTGGTGGGGACAGTTGGGGTTGGTCCAGGTGACCTTGGAGGTCTTTTCCAGCCTTATGCTGGAAGTGCCATGTCCCCAGATCCTCCAGCAGACCGCCCACAGGGGCAGGGGGTGTGCACCATCACAAGGAGGGGAGGAGGCCACAGCCCCCAGCCCAGTCCTTCCTCTGCCACTCCGTGACCATTCTGGAGGAACCCACCACATTTCGCAGGTGCTTCTAGGAAAAGCATGTGAGCAATGCTCCACGTCAGTGGGGAGCTTCAGAGGAGCAGCCTCACCACGGGATCCGCAGTCAGCCATACAGGAGCTGCGTGGAGCTGGAATGGGAACAGCCGACATCTGCAACTGCTTTAGCAGGAGGCGGATTGAAGACAGCCCCAACAGAGAGGCTCCAGCCCTGCGAGGACGCGACGCCGTTTGTGAGGCTGCTGACAGAGAGCTGCAGTAGCTGCGGGTGATTTTAATAAGAGGGGATAATATTTCTATCGGTTCTGGGAGCGGTGGATTGAACCCATACCAGCATCCAGCTCAGGTCTGTATCACGCTGAGACACAAAGCTCCTCTCACACCTCAGAACAGTGAAAGCACTCATCTCTCCCCCAGGTCAGCTCCCACCAAGAGCCCCGCATTCCCCACCCCGCACTGCACCCCAAACCCCAAGGCTGGGAACCACCCTGGAAGGGCTGCGAGAAGCAACTACTCAATGAGAGTATAGGAGGCTACAGGCAGGGCTCCGTCTTTTCTTTTCTTCTAATGAATATTTTTATTATCTCTCCTGATCTTTATTAAAAGAGGAGCCAGGCAAGTAGTTGGAGGGAAAATATACTACAGCACAGAGCAGCACTGCTGCGCAGAGGGACTGAGTGCGACCATCGCCGTCCTGTTGATGCACGGAGCAGAATTAATAATTCTGGCTGGGGAGCAATTAGTTTGGGCTGATGAGCTGCACTTTCCCATGTGATCAATGGTTGCACCTCCACTTTTTGCTACGCCATCAATCCGTGCCCAAGCTGTGCCCAAGGGCCGGGTGCTGGAAGTGCTGCGTCTGCAGCACGGAGCCGCTGGGCACGGCTGGGCCCGGCACGGAGGGGGCTGTGAGCTGCAGGAACAGCTGGGGCAGCGGGTCTCAGTGTGACTGATGGGGAAAGCAGCTTCCGTGGCTGCCCCCCTCCCTCATCCTTTAGAAGTCCCGCTTTCCTTAGCGCCTGCCATTACTTTAGAAGGAAGGGAATCATTCTTTAAAGGCTTCATTGGGCAGGGTGTACGTTAGCAGCAAGATCCCATATCTGACCCTCAGAAGGAGCAAGAGGACACCAGCCCACGGAGACGGGCCTCTGTGTGGGACTGTGGGTTCGTCCCCCCTGGAGTGCAGCCCCACACCCAGGCCCTCGGCCCCAAAGCCCAAACATGGCACAGAGACACAAAACGCAAACGGGTTCATTGCAAAAAGAGTGGCAGGGCGTACCAGAGTTTTTTCTGCTGCTTCACCATCTTTTCTTCCAGACACTCACACCAGCATTGCACTGGACATTGGCCCTATACAATTTCTGCAGCACCTGCAGCCAACACACAGCAGCAGCAGCTGCAGCTCTCCAGCCAAGAGCACACGGCCCAGATTTTCCCCACTTTCCTCTGAAGTGCTGGTACAAAACACAGCTTTCAAGGAAGAGACAGCCTTCAGAAAGAGGAAAAAAAAAAATCCCAGCTGAAATGCAGCCTTCTGCTGCTGCCTGCCTGAGACAGCCCCACCTGATGTGGGCTCTCTGGGCTCGTGGGCTGTGCAGAGAGCTGGCCCAGCATCTCACGGCACCACACCGTGCTGAGCCCCATGTGCAGCAGCCTCCAGCCCCATATCTCAGTGCTGCTCTGCAGACCCCCACTTTACAGGGCTGGATTTTGGGCAAACAACCTCTGCTGGCCACATGCACACAGCTGCAGTGCTGCAATCCCAAACGGATGCCCCAGTGGGACATAGCAGGGGTTTGGGGCCACGGCACACCTCCAAGCCTCCCCAAAACCTGCCCCAAGCCTTCCAAAAATCTGCATCTCTTGCTTTTTCCTCCCTGGATCTGTCAGCCCTCACTCCCCACAGCCCCCCCCCTGCATAGCTCTATG